TCCTCCCGTCCAAATAAAGCTAATATACAATTTTGGTCACCTACAATTTTCATAGGGTTTTCTAATCAAATATTCAAAATACATATCTGTTCAATATACTAGATTTTACAAACAAATAACAAAAGAAAACATGTATTTTTGCCGTTTAACAAGTAAATGAATTAGAGCGTAAATATATACATTCTCGCTATATTGCTCACCGTTTTACATCGAATATTGCTCTTTAAAGCTAATAACAAAAATATTGTAAAGTATAAAAACTTACTGAGCTGTGGCATTTTACACATTAAAATTATACTGTCGGCCCCCAGGTCTTGCTCTCAACGCCGCTACAAAACATCCCTGAATCCCAAGATCACACAGCAGGGGAAACAGCTAGAACACACCCAAGTTCACACAGCATGGGTTATATAAAAGGCACACCCAAGATCACTAAGCATGGGTAAAGTATAACTCACGGCGTCCAGACCTCTTCTGACACACACTAGCCAACACCCAGTATAAATAACTGACCAAACTACTCAAACGGGTTCGACGAGTATACGTTGATAAAAATAGAACAAATACAACTCAGTGACCAATAGTGCGTAAATGAAATAAACGATAACTCCTAACGCCCAAAATAAAGATAACTCTCACCAAATCCTGTACAATAAGCTAATATCAAACATTGACACAATGTCACTTGTGACACTGTTCTTTTGTTGCTAGCTAGATCTATCAAGATCAAATCAATGATATGATTCTGAATCATCTTTAATATAAACTTACTTTTCCCTCTTCTTTATGTAGAAAATGAAGAATTTTCATGGAAAAATTTGAAATCAATGATGTCAAAAGTAACCATGATCATGATGATACCTTTATTCAGTTTAATATCATTTTAAAGCAGAGTGAAAAAGATAATGAAAAATAAAGTTTTCTGAGAGATGGTTCAGTGGCAATATCAATTTATTTCTTGGTCTGAGACAGAGAGGAAAACTCCAACACTTACAGTCATACATCTGCATGATCTTCTTCATTTTTCATTGAACTGAATGCAGTTTAATATATATATATTACTGAGTTTACCTAAAAATTATGTCCCAATATGCCTTTAATTACCAAGCTACACTATCATTGTAAAGAATCATTAACAGATTAAATTTATTCCTCAAATTTTAGAATTCTGAAGCTTTCTTGCATATAAATTTCCATAAGAAAAGTCACATGTAAGATGCCAAAAGTAAATTCATCAATGTTCTTTTGGTGTACATGTTAATATTCATCATTATTAAAGATTAAATTTTTAAAATTTGTCTTTAAGCAAACTTGTCCCTCCAGTATATTGCTATAAAACAACTTTTAATACCCAATTTAAGCAAAGTTTACAATTAAACAAATTTTTCAAAATTAAATTGTATGTGTATTTGAACAGAATTTGAACATTTTAAATTAGTAATCAGTTGGCCATAATATTGTGCTATTCAGTGCTTTGCACAAGATTATTTTTCCTCTTATTTATTAAATGTTCATGATGATAACTACAAGCACATACATTTATTTATCACAAAAATTATAAAACAGGTACACAGATTCAGATGGGGAGGTGGGGGTTTTGACACTAGCTCCCTCTAAAACACACACACAAGAAAAGTTTTAGATATGATGCATATAGTTTTCATTGTTGTACACTCGATGTACACTGACAAAGTAAAATCAGAGTCAATTCTGTGTCAAAATAAGGTTATCTAATTGTTGACGGATCTTTTTTGTGCCAGCATCTACTGTGATATAGGACCTCAGTTTATACAGTCTCATCCAAAGGACCGGTCTCCAAGTCCCACAGTGGGATTCGAACTTGTGATATAAGGATTGACTCCTTGCCTCGCGACTTTAGAGCAGACACTCTAACCACTGCGTCAAGCAGGGATTTGGGGCGAAAAAATGCAATGAAGCTGAATTCCCCTGGAAAAATAAACCTAGAAACTAAGATTATGCCTGAAGCAGAATTATGCCTACTTGAAAGTCCTTATTATCATACTATGTGACTTAAAATGCTGTACAGCCAAGAAAAGCAATTGACAGTTGATTTACATATTGTAAATCACATTGACAGGGGTGTGCAATTAGCATCGCCCGACGCCCGTGGCTACCACTTTTTGGGGTCGGACTAGTGATTTTCTGCATGGAGGTAGCCCGTCGGGCTAGTAAAATTTATAACTACACACGCAAAACATGAAAAGCACAACCTGTATTTTCACTCGTTTTTGCTATCAAATTCCAAACCAGTGAAAATATTTCTGACAACATGCTCCTACACTCAATAAATCTCCATAATCTTATCTGTTTTGCAGCACTACCTGACTTATTTACTTTCAAAAACGATCGTTTTTTCCTACTCCGAATTTCTTCTATTCTTTCGTTTATGGTAAATACATACAGATATCTCATATAAATTCATTTTAATCTTATTTCATTATAATTTAGACATGATTTAATTTCATAGTGAGAATTAAACTTCAATTTTAAAAAGAATGACCTCAGTACCCTGACTTTTTCAACAATTAATTTCTTTTCAACGTATAGTTTTTAAATTTAATTTTTGCCCCTATATTTGGGCTAGTAACTTTTCACTTGGGGTTAGTAACTTTATAGCTACCACTAGCCCGTGGGCTAGTTATTGATTTTTGTAATTGCACACCCCTGATTGATTTACAATATGTGTAATGCTGACTGACGTTTAATTTAATTTTCATATGAATTGTTAGTCCATTATTTATACACTGAATTGATGACAGATTTTTCCGTTATTTCACGATCATGACAATTAAGGAGCACAAGGCAGGTGTGACCTATTGGCAGGGGATGCTCACTCCTCCGTGGCACCTGATCCCACCTCTGATGTTTTGGAGGTTTGTGTTTGTTCTGCTCCTATTTTGTATTGTTTTATGGACTTTGATATTGAATACTGCTCATTATCTCCATATTCTGTGTTTTTAAGATAAGATAAATAAATTAAGAGATATTTTATTTCGATAACGATCAATCATTTTAGTCAATAACATCTAAAAATATTATAAAAATATATAAGAATTTATTAAAGCAATTATATTTCTTTGCATAAGGGACACTGACACACTCCATCATGATCATATAGAGTGAAATAATTATGTTTATAAGAATTTGACAGACTTTTTGAAATACTTTTATCACTCCAGGCATGATAATGAATCAATCAAATTATTTACTAGTACTATTCATGTGCTCAGTACTTAGTACTTTACAGTTTAAGTGTCTGTATGTCATCTAAGATTGTGATCAAGGAAATTTAAATAATCTTAAGGGTCGATAACAAACAATTTCTATTTGTACAATCAAATTAACATGATTAACCAGGTATATCAGATATTAATTATCACACTGAATCAGTCTTTAAAATTCATACAGTCAACATCATGTAGAAACATGGGCATAGTCTGGAATAAGCTTAATTAAGTCATGCACTTAAATGTTACAAAATGTTTTCTTTTATTCATCTAATCTATTTTTATCAATTACTCCTTGGTGCAAGAGTTGAAGAGATCGGGAGAGAGAGAGAGACCTGTAAAAAAGTTAGTTCAATAGTTGTTTATAACAGTGGCAGATCAAGAGGGGGAGAGGGGTTACGGGGGTTGCACTGAAATCCAGTCAAAGTATCCCCTAATTAAACTGTCCCCGTCAAAGTGTCCCCTGATTTTGGGGAGCTTTGACCAAAACCAAGGGACGCTTTGACCATTTCTTTGGGACAGTAAAGATTGTTTATAATAAGATATTTTTTTCTGTAAAAATATGTAGGGGGCGCTTTGACTAAAATCAGGGCATACTTTGACCAATATCAGGGGGCGCTTTGACTAAAATCAGGGGATGCTTTGACCAACATTTGGTGGCGGTATTTTTTCTATAAAAATATGTTAGGGGGCCCTTTGACTAAAATCAGGGGACGCTTTGACTAAAATTAGTGGACACTTTGACTGGGACGTTTTTATTAGGGGGTGCTTTGACCGTCTCCCGCTGCACTCCCTCCCCCCTTTTGATTTGCAAAATAAGAGAGCTCGAGAGAAAGACCCAAATTTCTACTGTTCTACAGTGTATTGTGTTCTTATTATAGAAAAATGTCATTGAACATGTTGAAAGGCTAATGTTGTAAATTTGTAATATATAAAAAAAATTTGGTTGTGATAACAAAAGTGAAACCCTACTTCTTCACATAATAGGATTTACAGGTTCAGAGATTTATTTTTCACTTTTTCAAAAAATTTCAGGTAATCTATAGGTACAAGTATTTTTTTCACAGGTTGATCAACCTACCATTTTTAAAAACCATACTCCACCCTGTATCCAACTGAGTTATTTAACTGCATGTACATGTTTATGTAAAACGTAAGTTATATAAACTCTTTTTCTCTTTACCCCCCCCCCCCTTGAAAAATTTCTAGATCCGCGCCTGAATAATTATCACCAGCTGATCACTTGGGTGTTGTTTACATTGTCATTTAGGCCTACCATGTCTAATCTTTTGAATGTCACATTCATTCTATATTCATTTAATCATGTTAATTAAGCACTTCTTCACACGTTTATTACATGTATATTGCATGTAAGTAACTAAGAAATTGTGTATCTGTTATTGTGAGAAGTAAAACAGACTATAACATTTTCTGCACATTGAATCATTTTCACCTCTTTTAATACTGGGGTAAAATATTTCACAACACCAAGGACAACATAAATAAATTAGTATAATAATTTAAAAACACTGACAAGCCCTATATATTTTTATAGCACCAAAAGATTTTTAATTTTCCAACCACGTGGAGGCATGTAAACAAAGGACGATAACTCTAAATGTACATGATTTAATGTTTCTCGTTTCATGTGTTTGAGGTGATAGAATTTGAGAAATAAAGACTAATTGAATCAAATTTAATGTGCAAAAAATGTTCCAGTGAATGAAGGCAAATAAAATGAACTTTACTTACATTAAATGCATAAATCCCAAAACACATATCTACTTCCTGTCTAAATCTTACAGGAACTGGTGCAGATCTCGCACGGTCTCGAGGCTGGTCTCGTTAGAGGTCAAATCGACCACTCGGATGTTACGCTACACTTAACAGCGATAAAGAATATCATCCGAACACATTAGTAGGGGTGATTTGGACTAGTCCAGTAATACACAACACAGTTCAACAAGTCATGGTCTCCAGATGCATGAACATTTGTACCCCCGTTTCAGATGCACACAATAGATAAGAATCCAGTACAAAATCTTAATGTTTTGCTTTCCACAAAGGCCTAAATATTGAATTTTCTTATTTCATTCTCAATAAATGCATTATAGTGGCACAACCCCCCCCCTTCCTTTTTAAGAGAAAAAAATGAATAAACACATTATTACTGTTAACTTCAGTGGAATAAATACATTTATCATAATACCATATTATTCAAAACCTATGATTAGTCGATTAATACCACGTGATTCTGCTATAAATCACTTATAAACCAGATGTTTCCTAAAATAAAATTTATAAACCCTACTATACTAAAAATAGAAAATTTATAAACCCTACTATACTTATAATAGATTCCTAAACTGTCTGCAAGTTAGCTTTGATTTGATTGGATATCATGTGTTTCTTCGGCCAATCACTGTTTATAGGGGGTTCAGGTATAAATTTTCGATGAGATATATTCAAATAAATTTATTCTAGCACAAACATGGACACATTCTAGAAATATAAAAAACTTTACTTGGTGAAAAAATTCCAAGTAGAACAGAAATTATGGAATTATCAATGTTGTGAATACTGCTATTTTATGTAAGGATATTTAACTATTAAAGGGTACCTATTGATGGCACATAAAAGGAAGAAAAATCCGTTAAATCTATGTATTTTTTTAAGTAACAAGTCTAATTTTATTTGGAAGTATGGCAAACTATATATTTTCGGAAAGGTCTATGCAAGCCCTAATTTTCTGTTTCCATGCCAGGTAAAAAATATCCAAGATGGCAGCAAAACATCCAATATGGCCACCAAATGGCCACCAATATTGAAAATGGCCGATACAGTCTTTCTGATACAATTGCTTTCAAAATCTAAGTTAAGAAAAAAAATAATGAAATTTTATAAATTCTTTACAATTTATTACATTTAAAAGATTTATAAAAATGGTTATCTTAATCAAATATGCTCATTAAAAGTCAGAGTTTTGTCTGGACATCACAAAGAAGAAAGCTGTCAATATTAATATGAAAACGGCAAAGATTGGAAAAAAAGAATTCACTACAGTTAATTCACAACTTTATTTAAAATTTGTATAGATCGATCTTTAAAATACATGATATCAAATTTTCGGTATCAATCAATAATTATATATTCAGCTTCCTGGACAAGTTGAATGACATCTGCTACTACCGGCGGGTACCATAATCATGATATGGAATGATTCTCGCATTTTCCTGAAGTCTGACTGTTTATAAATACTCACTGAAAAAAAAAATAACCACAAAGTATCATGTTAATAACAAAAATATTTTTATAGGGCCTAGTTAGAAGAATTTCTGGTTATTCATTTATTATACAGTACATTATATGTATTTCAGAATCTAGAGGAAATCCTGGCAACAGAATTAGATTTGTACATTTATATCAGGGGGCGTTTATAGGTCCCTGTTTTCCCTGTTTATGTGTAGTACATTGTAGGAAATGATATTTTTCGTAGATTTTTTTTCCAATAAGTCGATCCTGATATTATTATTTAATGTCGCATTTCTATTTTCTTTTGTGGTTTTACGATACAAAAGTGCGCATGAAATTAAAGGTACATAGAAACTGTTCAAAAGTTGCGTCGGGGTGACGACTTTTGATTGGAAATCCGGGTAAATTATTTATTACACAACCATAATATTCAGATAGGAAATTTTCTCAGCTTTCTAATAGTGTATGTTGCATAAAAATATTTCGATTACTTACCGTAGTAAAATTGACTTCTTTCCTTTGAAACGAAAATGCATAAACTTCTGCACATTGCATTGAGATGCAACATTAACAATGTTGATCTCCAAAATGTAATCTTTCCTGTGATAGGTCAATGTCATTAATTCCTTAAAAATTGCCTCCCGGAAAGCAAATCAAAATGACGCTATCAACGTCGCGAAGACAAAACTACAGTGCCATGCATCAAAGGGGAAACCCCGTATTCAATTTTAGCACAACTTCGACCGGGTTCATTTTTAATGCAAACTCTTCAGAATGACATAACACATATATCATACGAAAGTTCAAACAATGTAGAAAAAATTCATTATATTTAATTTCTAGATAAATATGAATAATAATGCAAAAATTACGTTTATAAACATTGATAAATTGTGTTTAAATGGCACGATTACATAGGTAAGTCGGGTTACCTGAACCCCCTACTGTTTAGCTTTGATAAGGCGTTCGCCTAACTATTGTTGTTTGCAACTGAGCCTGAGGAAATGATGGCTAATCCGAGTAATCGCTTTGCCACTCTCAATGAACAAGAATTGAAAGAAATTTTCGACAATGTGGATGCCGATAGCAGGAAAAAATCAACCATCACAGCGGTAAAAACGTTCAGGGAATATTTAACAGCGAAAAATATGTCGGCTGACTTTGAGAGTTTTTCCGCAGCCGAGCTCAATGAAAAACTGTCCACATTTTACTGCGAAATGAGAAACAAAAAAGGTGAAACGTGTAGGAAAAGTGCTCTAATTGCATATAGACATGGCATACAGCGGCACCTTGAAAAGGGTGGGAAGAGTGTTGACATTCTAAAGGGAACCGAATTCAAGTTATCCAACAAGGCCTTTAAAAGCATGACAAAATAAATGAGCGAAACGGACTTGGTAATGTGGTGCACTACCCTGCAATCACTGATGAGGACTTGGAAAAGATTTACTCTTTTCGCACAGCTTCTTCAGTACAAGGTTAGTATATTTAATATGCTTAGACTGAAGACCTGTATTTTTAATATTAGCAAAATATTTGTTTAACTCTCCTACATCTAGTGCTCTAAGTTACAAAATTCATAATTCAGATTTACTTTGCATTGCTAGGTTTTCATTGACCTTATGTTACATTTTGGAAGATGGGGGAGAGAAAATCTAGCAAATTTAAAGAGGGATGACTTTGCTGTAACAACAAGTGGAAATGGAACACTGTATGTTTAACCACAGATGAAAAAACAAAAAACCATCAGGATGATAATGATAAAGCGTCCGACGGCAGAATGTATGAAATCAAAGGTAAAAATTGAAGAAATTATACTCCAAAAATATATAGAATGAAATAAAAAAAAAAAAGGAAATGTTCACGCAAAAAAAAAAAGGAAATGATATTTTGAAATATTTGGAATGTTTTAATGATGAAATAATAAGAATGTTTTATTTGAATATCTTGTATAATTCTTCTAGACTATCAAAACATCAAAAATATGCATTTTTTTCATTTCAGGGAGCAGTAAATGTCCAGTAAGAAGTTTCATCAAATTTCTAAAGAGACTAAATCCAAAATGTGATCGACTATTTCAAAAAGCCAGGATCTTTCAAAAGGATGGAGTGTTTTACGACAATTCACCCCTCGGTCATAATAAGTTTGGATCATTGATGAAAGAAATAAGTAACAAGAGGCCCAGGGGCCACAGCGCTCACCTGAGCACATCAGGCTTGAATTTACCACCCCCCCCCCCAAAGCATTCATCATTTGAACAAAATAGAATCTACACTACCTGAGGATGATTCTATATAAATAACACTAATTGTAAATTTGAAGTATTTGAAAAGAAGATTTTAAAAGGTTTCCCTCAATATCCCTATGTAAAACTTGGGTGGGCCATTTTGGCCCCACCCTAGCCCCAGGGGTCATGATTTGAACAAACTTGAATCTACACTACCTGAGGATGATTCAACATAAATTTCATCTTTCCTGGCCCAGTGGTTCTTGAGAAGAAGACTTTTAAAGATTTTTCCTATATATTCCTATGTAAAACTTGGGTCGGCCATTTTGGCCCCACCCTTGCCCCTGGGGTCATGATTTGAACAAACTTGAATCAACACCACCTGAGGATGATTCCACATGAGTTTCATCTTTCCTGGCCCAGTGGTTCTTGAGAAGAAGATTTTTAAAGATTTTTCCTATATATTCCTATGTAAAACTTGGGTCGGCCATTTTGGCCCCACCCTTGCCCCAGGGGTCATGATTTGAACAAACTTGAATCTACACTACCTGAGAATGATTCCACATGAGTTTCATCTTTCCTGGCCCAGTGGTTCTTGAGAAGAAGATTTTTAAAGATTTTTCCTATATATTCCTATGTAAAACTTGGGTCGGCCATTTTGGCCCCACCCTTGCCCCAGGGGTCATGATTTGAACAAACTTGAATCTACACTACCTAAGAATGATTCCACATGAGTTTCATCTTTCCTGGCCCAGTGGTTCTTGAGAAGAAGATTTTTTAAAAATGCCATTAATTTTTCTCTAATTCATAATTATCTCCCCTTTGAAAAGGGCATGGCCGTTCATTTGAACAAACTTGATTACCCTTCACCCAAGCATACTTTGTGCCAAGTTTGGTTAAAATTGGCCCAGTGGTTCTTGAGAAGAAGATGAAAATGTGAAAAGTTAACGACGACGACAACGACAGACAACGGACAAATTTTGATCAGAAAAGCTCACTTGAGCCTTCGGCTCAGGTGAGCTAAAAAAGCTGGTTTGAATACCATTTATACCAATCACTCATGCAGAGCCACTACTGTACATGTTCTTGATGCTGCGCAAATTCCAAGTAGACATATAATGACAGTGACTGGGCACAAATCCTAATCATCCCTTAAAACGTACTCGGGAATAACAGATGAAAACACAAAACAAGTGATGTCAGAGAAAATCTCCGAAAAGATTCAGGAAAAATGTTTGAAAAAAGATGATTCTACAAATGTACTAGATGTTGCAACCCCTAACTTTGACATCTTGCCTTTAACTGATTCGCAGGAAAATGCTGTATTAACCGATCTGTTGAGCACCAGTCTGATGATGGCTTGTGACACGATAGCGGTGTTTTTCTTTGAAGTTTACTGTTCTGTATTAGCAATACAGAACGGGACTATGGTGGGCGGAGCTACTTT